ATAAGTGATGATACCATTGTTGGGATCTGGCCCTAGTCTAGAAGCACCCATGCTCCTTCCTGTCATACAACGTCTGATGGAAACTCCAAGATGAATGACTACACCTCCCAGCACAGCCAAAACTTGATCCTGGCCCCTCATTGGCCAAGAAGTGGCCCCCCACTGGGTTCGAGACCTGGTTTATAAGCGAGCAGGAAACGCCATTCTCTCTCTTCCCTCCGGACCTCGTCCTGGCAACAAGAAGATTCACGAGTAGCCGCGGCCTCATCAAATCCTATCAGGTCACATGTCACATTCGCTGGTCAAAACTACAGACTGTGTTTTATTTTGAGTTTTGGATCCCGTAGTGTGAGAACGGATAATCTCTACGACCCGTCCTCCCACCCTTTAGTGCACACCTTGCCGGCAAAAGAGGGCAACTGAGCCCCTGAAGAGCCGAAGATTTCCGGCCAAAGACGAGCGACTCCTGCACGCCTCCGACGTTAAGAAAACCCCTCTCTGCAGCGAGGGGATTGAGTCTGCGCTAGCTCCAATAGCCGCGCCACCGGGACCCCTCATCTCCCGAGGACTGAATGATTCCCACCACGGGAAAAGGACCGTGCCGAACGAAGCTTCTCAAAGTAAGAGTTACTGGTATCTGGGCCTAGCTTAGCTTAGCTTAGCATTAGCTTAATTTAGACTATTCGTTTATGTCGTTGTTATTCCTGTATCTTGTTGTGTTAAGTTACTGTCATGTTATAACGTGTTATTACGCCAGCATCGCGGACCACGGAGTCCCGTTATATTGTGTATTTCCTGCTGTAACCGTTCGCATTGGATCCGTCGCTGCTAGTGGATGTGGAGCTTGTGATTCTATCACTTTAAAAACTAAAACTACGGTGGCCGACTCTCGTCTGGCCGACCGAGTTTCGGGGTGATAGGGAGACAAACTCGCATTTCACCGCAGTGACAAAGATCTGTTTGTTTTAGGGATTCTTTTATTTTGTTTTTGGTTTTATTCTCTCCTCTTTAAATCGGCTCTGCGAGTGAGATCTAGAACCGCAACTATCACTGTAAAAGCGTGCTGTTCCTCACTTCCTCACTACTGTGCAGAGCACCGCGCTCAGAGCTCGATTTTCTCTCTCTCTCTCTCCCTCTACTAACCCGCACATACACGTAGTTAGAGCTACTGATTTTGGGTGAACCTCTCAGACTCGTGATTACGTAATCTCTGACCCCAACCCACATGGTACGCCGTCCCACGTGGTTATAGCAGCCACCTCTCCGCCATCTTGGTCTGTAGGCTCACACGCCCCTATTGAGATTACCCACCATCACTGCTGAGTAGCCCCCCCACCCCCTTTTCTTTCCACACACACACACACACACACACACACACACACACACATATATCGATACACATATCCTTACCCCACTTTATTAATTTGAGTTTAGGTATTAGACACATAATTGTATGATAGCGTTTGTTGATTGTGATATTACTTGATTTGATCATTTATTATTTTGATTTAATAAACTCTGTTATATTTTAAAGAGCAGTCGTCTGTGATTACTTGTGCATAGGTGTGTAATAACAACTGGATGTAGTGGCCTGTGCTCGAACTTAACCCTTCACTCGCACTCCAAACGTGTAATAGTACTCAGACTGTTAATATCGTGAGTGACCACTAATTATGAGACTTAGGTTATAGTTTGGTTATTGGTCCCTGTCCGCAGGGTGGTGCCCCGTTCTTATTAGTAATTACTAATTAACTTATTGATATTAATAACTCCATTGATGTTGATAATTTAGTTTCATATTTGCTGATAACCAAACACGCTCCTTTACGTTCCCAACACCATGACTATGTTCACTTCTTATATACTGTCTATGGTTTATGCATAAGCAGAATAGAAGGCATCCTTATAGGAGTGATACAAGTCTGGGGAGGGGTTTGGGATTCATTGGGACACGAGCAGTTTTATCTTGGGAGAAGCTTGCTCGGACTCCAACACCAATCCCACTGAGAAACTGTCGGCTGCTTTTGAAAGGAATGAGGGGAGCTGACATGACTGACCATTATCCAAGCCTACCCTCACCACCTGATTGAGTCATCTATCTAACATGCATCAATCCTGCACTATTCCCCTTTTCCAGTGTGTGTTACACTGCTGCTCTCTAAACTGGCAAAAAAAAGTCTGCCAAACCCTCACCTGCACACAACTGTGCCCTTTTTTAAAATTAAAATAGAGCCGAAGTGTATTTGGTTTGTGACTTTATCAACATGGTTGATCCTCACCTTAAGACAGGATGACGAATTAAGCGCCAACACCCACCAACACGCCCGCACGCCGGAGTAGAGGGTTTGACGAGCGCAGGGATAATCGATAAGGCAGGGCTGTTGCGACATCACCGGTTGCCAGGGTAACAAAGTCCCCGGAGCAGATGGCGGTAAGCTATATGTGAAGCAGGAAGAGCGGTTGCTGGTCATAAAAAGTGACAGTGATGTGACACGGACAACACATTGGATGACGCTGCCAGTCGAGCGGCTGTTTCGCAGAACTCATGTTCGCCACTATTTATTGCCCCTAATTCAACTCAGTGAGTCATCAGAAGATAAAAGGCAGGCACATGCACATTATGGATATGTTTCAGGTGTTATTTAGTGGCACTAAACAGTGACGTACCCAGCTCAATAACAACAGGACAAAAAGAGAAACAGAGGCACTCAGTATGCTGTGTTTTAACCATATGTCTTCGCTGAACTGGGAAATTGCCTTTGTGCACTTATTTTTCATGGTGGGGCAGCTTACCTGTTTGTAGCACTTCGGGGTGTCTTTTGTCTGTAGAATTTGTGAGTGGGAACATATAAAAGATGTACAACTGTGTGTGTGTGTGTGTGTGTGTGTGTGTGTGTGTTTATTGTTTGTTACTTACCACTATATTGGTATAAATTCTTATTAGATCATGTGTATATATACAAAATTTAATTTGTGTGTTTGTGTGTGTGTGTGTGTGTGTGTGTGTGTTTGTGTTTGTGTGTGTTACTCGTTTCTCATTAGAGCACAGACAACCGACGCACATTTTATGGTAATGTCTTCAATTATGCAGTATTATCCTGAAGATGGTAATAAAACATGCACTCAGCATTCTGAGGTTAAAGTTTATTGCATTTCACCTCTCAGTAACATTGTTGCTAATGTATTGTTGTAGTTACATTACATAAACAAATTGCTGTGACTGTGAGTAAATTATTTGTAGCGATGAGTTTGCACGGTAACACTAAATGATAAGGGTACATGGATTTTAAAAAAGCATGACTCAGTTCATGTAGCACTTCACAAACCTCTTCATTGGTCAGGCTGGTGTCAGGTATTCGTAGCTAAACTTACGAAAAATAAAGCGCTGCAATTTGTTGTTATCCCATTAAAGTATTGTTGTACGGGAGGGTGGAAGGGGAGATGCATGTGTCCAACACACAGCGATCTTTCATCCAGCAGACAACTGTTTGCTCCACAATTTAAACGAGATTTGATTTATTGATTTATTCGTCAAGTCACTTCTGTAGTTATTTTAACCCAAACAAGATTCATTGCTAACCTAACTAAGGATGTCACTATCTTCTTCTAAACCTAACTGAGTTGTTTTCTGTGAAGACGGTTTATTTCGTTTATTTGAAAAAGACTATGCATGTAACAAGCGGGAATTGACACACGTGTTGTTTTGTTTCGTGGGACTTTTCAGAAGATACCATACGAACCGTTGTATGATATGTTGCATATGTATGCAGTTAACAGGGCAAAAAAATTGACCAGTCACAGCAGTGCACCTGCATTCTGTGTGAAAATGTTACTTTGTTGGCTTTGAATCATCAATTCAAGTTTTTAAATGTTATGAATGGATTATCATGAATGGTTTGTGAGCTTTAAGCCAATGTGATACACACACCTTTCCTTTCCGAACTAGCATTGATTATTCAAATGGAGTCCAAAATGATGATGTCATTTGCATTTGTAATTTTGGCAAATAGAAATGAATATACAGGACTGACTTTATTTCAGAGCTGACAAGAATGATAGATTCATAGGAAACAAAATATATCATTTAAGAATGACTGTCTATTTGAAGGATCGGAACCATGATAAAGTCATGAAAAATGAATGCTTTGTTAATCACGATTACAACACTTCAAATTCAACAATATACATATGCGCTACTGTGACTACTGTGAAAAGACAAGAACATCATTAATAACTCAGCAATCTTAATGATTGAGATACACTAGCTGCTGCATTAACTCATGCATGAGATACTCATTATGGTACATTCCTGTTCATGAAAGACTACATGAATTAATTCATGCTTTTTTTTATGCATTAAGTCATGAAAATGTAATGTAATTCATGGTAATTCAAAAATCTGTCACACAAGGTGTGAGCATTGACAAAAAACAAAGATGGATTATGACTTCAGAAGATGATTGTCCCTTAAAGCCCCCGATTATCTGTATGTGGCCTCCAATACCCCCCCCCCCCATAATTAACATAACCCTGAGCAGCCTGGTTAAGTGATTAAGTGATCAACGAGCAAGTACGCTGCACAACTCCAACGATGGTTTCGGAATAGATGGTGTTTGCCTAATGAGCTTCACCACTAGCGAAGCATGCTACCTCGGTGAGTTCCCCTGTGGCCTTCTTCACTGGCAACTCGCTGATCGCAACATCTCGAGGTGTGTGTGTGTGTGTGTGTGTGTGTGTGTGTGTGTGTGTGTAGCCCGTGTGAGTGTTTTTACCAGAGCGAGTGATTTACATATGAGATTTCCACCCACGGCCGGAGGGGAGATTAAGTCTAGTTTAAAATCAGTCGTCTTCAGCAAGAATGCGAATAACTGCTCTAAATTACAGGTGACATAAAAAAGTAAAAATGCTTCAAGAAAAGAAAGATGATTCTGCTGCTTGAAAAACACAACCCTGCTGTGAAACACTGCTCAGATGTGAGAAGATTCTCTCTGTTTTTGTAGGTCAGTGCCAGTGTGGACAGTGTACCTGCTACCCACCTGGGGACAGTCGTGTTCACGGCAAAAACTGTGAGTGTGACGACCGTCAGTGCGAGGACATTGGTGGAGAGGTCTGCGGCGGTGAGAGCAAGTGCACACACACACGCACACACACACACACACACACACACACACACACACACACACACACACATTCATTTCATCTTTGTATCCAGTAAGGGCTGTTTAAGTTGTGTGAATAACAGAGGGAATTGACGAAACATGGCAATAAACAGATGGCGAGCCTGCATTTCAACATTGCTGTTCAAACTGTGCAGAGAAGTGGGAGGCCTAAGCAATGGACCTCATGCAAGACCCGCTCCACGGCATGTATGAATGTTTTTCAGAACTTGTTGCATTCACAATTTCTTTTTTTTGTACTTCGAATTTTCAGTTCTGTAAGAAAGGAATTCACCAGCGGATTAAACCCGTCATACGAGTCACGTGCAGATCTTTCTCTGCAGGTGGAGCTTAAAGGTTTCACTGTGCGATATTCAGAGCATTAATATAGCATCAAACAGCTATTTCCTATGTAAAGACATAGGGGAGTAATGTGTATACTGAGCAGAGAGTTAAGTAATTCTCCCTCTCTGCATGCGAGTGTGCCCCATTGGCTGTCTCATGGCCACCGCTCTGCACTGCCAGCCTGGTCTCACTCCTAACTCGTCAAATACCAACGGTTGGTCAGCACCCCCTCGGCGTCTGATGCAGACGCACCAGGCTTTCAAACATTAGATCCGCACTTTGCAAGAAAACAGGCTCGCGAAACTCAGATCAAACCGTCACACTGGGCAGCGCTGGAGAAATATGAATCAAGATTGTGTTACTGCCTTGCCTCTTTCTCACCTCAAATGTTTTCTGAAACATTTTATTGGAGTTTATCAACTGGGCGCCATATTGCAAACCGCCCAGCCACAATCGGCTGGAGCAAACATCTATGTGTTTATTGGCAGGATTTAGTACATCTCCACCACCAGCGCTGTTAGCACCGTTAGCTGCAAGCCTTTCGGCTTAGCCGTCGCCATGTTGAGAGCTGTGCGGAGGCAATAGATATGCTCAGCATTTGATATTGAGCACCTTTAAGATTTATAATATCTTAATCTGAATGAATATGGAGTTTAAATATTCTACAGATATTAACTAAAATAGAAGTAATTCAACAAGTGTCTTTCTCTTCTCTTTTAGATGATATGAAGTTATTGGCATAATTTGGCATGGCAAACTTATTCAGCCACTCCATGCCTCGGGGTCTTTATTCATGTCGCTGTCAGGGGAACATCCTCCATTGCACCCGACAACTGTAACAGCACCAACTGTATGATATTCTCTTGTGTATTTCCATCACTGTCTTGTCCCCTGGATCCCCTCTCATCTAAGCCAAGGAACACTTTGCTTTAGCGAGACATGTTTTAGGACTTACAGTAAGTTGGTGTGTCACCATTCCCTTTTTTTGTCCCGGTAAGGCACTGCTCTTATGACATATTGTTGACAACTGTATTAATTCTTTTCGGGGGCCCCAAAAGGACCACAGACCCTGCTACATTTCTTAATGCTCGTACAACCAAGCCTCCCAGAAAAAAAGGATGCGAGATTAAGGATATGAAATGTTTTGCTCCAAGACAAGGCAAGGCAAGTTTATTTGTATAGCACATTTCAACAACAAGGCAATTCAAAGTGCTTCACATAAAACCATTAAAAACATCAAAACATAAGGCAAAAGAAAGGGAGATTTAAAAACAATTAAGAACATTGATTGAAACATTAAAAATAGTCAGTAGTAAAATGCAGAAATGCAGAAGTGGCGAAGATTGCTATGGCTCTGACTGTGACAATAGCTGCTGAGGCTCATGGGTAACATGGTACTTATAGTTCCATTCTTTAAGAACAAAACTATGAATATACATCTACTGACGCAGACTTGGTTACGCACTTACACCCCTCACCTAATTATTGCAGAGGAAACTACACACATTTTGTGCAGCGTGTGCACACATACACTCACCCACTTTGAAATCATGCCAGGAGCAGCCGCTGAATTTGAAGATCAATACGGTGTGATCCTATCTGCTCTCTTTGATATCCACAGGCACAACCCCCCAGCCCCCCCACCCTAAACCCTTGAGCTTGAGTTTGAGAGAAATTGCTCCAAGCCTTTGAAGCTTTGGTTTGAGGTCTTGGGGAAGTTTGGGCTCCTAATATGAGCCATTTAGGCACAACCACTGTAATGGATGGGTTGTGCTAACAACATTAGAGGCTCAATTGAAATTGATATTTTGCGGCTGCTGCTGCTGTCAGACAGAGACAGAGGGAAAGGCAGATGAAGGTGCATTTAAGGATCGCGGTGCTCCTAAAGTAAAGCAGAACATGGTTGGAGAATAGTTGTATTGTAAAAGAGTAAAACCAACTGTCTGAGGGGAAAACTGACAAAATGTGTTGTTCATTCGGCCAAATATAATTCCCATAGTAATTTGCAGGATGTATTCCTCCATTTGACTGCCTTTTCTTTTACAATTGCTTATCTGTGTTAAATTTGAGCATACAGACATGCATTTCTGTATTTTCTGGACACATACATACTTCCTTTAAGTCTATGAAACCGAAACAACATGACACATGCACAGCTTTTCAAAGAGTAAACAAACAGACAGATTTCTGTCAAACAACAAAGAGGAGCCCCCCCCCC